TTATTGAATATTCTCATTATATAATTGTCGCATTATCCAACAATTTAATAGTGTAATTTATAATCAAGTGCCATCAACCCCCTAGACCAAGAAGGAGACCTCCTACTGAATATTTACTGATTTTTCCAAGGTCATTCTGAGAGTCCGTTAAGGAGCTGAGACTGAAGGAAGGAACCACTTCATGATCACAAGAGTAAACCAGTGTTGTTCCAATAAGATATTGTTTCTGAAACACAGTCTATAAGCTCGGGGCTTGTTTTTAAACAGCTCTTTGTCCGTAAACTGATTACTTACTTTATACATAATTCTAGGATGGCCCTGAAACAGCCAGCGGACCCGCAATAATTGTTCCGCCCTTACTACTAATCCACAATCTGATATAGCAGGGGTAAAAGGATGGACATGGTTAGAAACAAATAGTCCTCTGTTCAGTCTGAAGTCTTCCCCTGAACCTTGTGAACTTGAACAAGTTATTTAAATAAGTGATTCAGATGATGCGGCCCATGGACACATGCACCAGAATCCCTTAGGTGTCTGCTTGAAACCTCATCCCTAATGTACTAAACTAGAAACTGTGGGACTGGTCAAGTCATCTTCATTGTTAAAAACCCTCCCAGGATATTCTTGTCCATGCAAATTGCCTCAATTTTGTTTGTTCATCTGTAAAATGGCACATGATCAACCTTCTTCATAGGGTGGTTTTGTGAGTTTCAAGTAATTATATATGCAAAGCACCTGACACATAGAAGTAGCTCAATAACATCAGTTCCCTTCCTTTCTTTTTCTCTTCTAGCAAATAATAAGGAAAAATGGAGATGAATATTGTATGCTATTTTAGAGGTTTTTGTTCTTTGCTAGGAATAGATGAAGCCACTATCCTCTTCTTAGAACTAAATAAATCTTAGTCATCTAAAACTCAAGCTCAAAAATTTTCATGAACAGCATTTAATTGATGTTATAGATCTGAACTTACCAGATGGCCACATAATTTTGAAATACCAGTAGGCAGCAATCCTCCACAATGTATATTACAGTTATCAATCTATTGCCTCTTGGCTCTAAATTCATACTTCAATACCTGCTCTAGGAAAATGGATATGGGCCCCTTAAATAGTATTTCTTGGCAAGAAAGCGTGATATTAAGCTTTGTCAGTAGAGGGCATTGGAGAGACATTATAAGAAGAAAAGATTTAGCTTCCTGGTTCTGGTGTGCTTGCTTGCCACGTTCCTGAAATGTGCAAGGTTTCCCCAGGACCCAGCTCCTGTAGCATACATGGCTTTCCCAGTGCCCAGATCTTAAAACATGAACAGATTGTCCAGCACCAGATTCTTGTGGCAATTATAGCTTCTCCAATGTCTAGCTCCCACAGTACACAGAAACCAGGAGCTTCTCTCAGTATTCCCTTCAGGCTGAGATGCAGACTTTTACTTCTGGTCACAGTGGGTTAACAGAAACCTGATTTACCTATAAACCTTAAACAACTATCTGGGTAACAGATATCCCAGGACAGTGATCTCTGAGAGAAGGGAGGCAAATAAGGTGACTGTTCAGCTTGATACTTGGAGTTTGCAAGCCACAGTGCAGCAGGGAAGGGGAACTCAGGGAGGGCCCAGTGGTCTTCCTGAGTCGAGGACTCAGGTTGAATTATTGAGAGTTTCTAAACTTCTCAGAACAGGATACTAGAGGAAAGAGAAATGAACAGAAAACTTGGGACATCTTCAGAAAATTCATATTAGGTGGTTAACTCAAGTATTAAGGAATGCATCCATGGGAAGGAGCTACCATACTAGATATGAAACACTGAAAAGGAGCAGGTGGAACAATCTGAGACAGAAATTGTTTGCTAAAGAAAAATACTTCTGATACACAGAATATTGAGTTGAGTCCTCAGCAGGGAGTTGCCTCAGTAGTGTAGCAAAGTAGAAAGGCCCTTCTGTATCTGCTATCTTAGTCAGCTTAGCCTGCTACAGCAAAAGCCATAGAATCAGTGACTTAACCAACAGACATTTATTTCTCACAGTTCTGGAGGCTGGAAAATCCAAGACCAAGGTACCAACACTCAATTGCTGGTGAGAGTTCTCTTCTTGACTTGCTGATGGCTTCCTTCTCACTCTCCTCATGTGTGCAGAAACAGAGAGCACTCTGGTATTCCTTCTTCTTCTGAAAAGGACACTAATCCTACCAAAGGGTCCCCACCTGCATGACCTCATCTAAACCTACTTCCTACTCAAATCCCCCACCTCTAAGTACTATTTCATCAGTGGTTAAAGCTTCACTACATGAATCTGAAGGGGACACATTCAGTGTATAACATGCTCAACAAAACTTAAAAGCAAACCTCTTAAAAATCAAGCAGTTTGCAAGTAAATGAGCTCTACCCCAAAACAACAACAAAAGCACAGTAAAAGCTTTTTGCAAGCACAATTCACTCTAGAAACATGCTTATAATCCAAAACACTCATATATCAAAGCAAATTTCAAGATCTGTTGGCTCAATTGTGATCATGTGACATTCGGTCATGTACTACTCCTATTGCAAGATATTGCTCATTTACCAAGTTAAAATTTATCAGAAACGTTTGCTCATCTTGCAGAACATTAGCAAAGTAAGTTACTCATAATCCAAGGTTTTAAAAGAATAACTACCCCTGCCCCACAAAAAAAAACAAGCACCAAAAAACAAAATTTAAAATGTTCAGCATCCAATACAAAGCATTAGGCTTTCAAAGAAGCAGGAGAATATCAATCATAATCAGAATAAAAAAATCAATCAATAAAAACAGACCCAGAAATGATGAAGATTATAGAATTAGTAGACAAGGACATTGAAGTAGCCACTATAAATGTATTCCAGGAGCACCTGGGTGGCTCAGTTGGTTAAGCATTGGACTCTTGCTTGACTCTTCCACTTAGGTAATGATCTTGTGGTTGTGAGATTGATCCCTGCATCAGGTTCTGTGTGGAGCATGGAGCCTGGTTAATATTCTTTCTCTCCCTATGCCTATTCCCTGCTCACTTGTGTGTGGCCTCACTCTTAAAAAAATTATTCCATATGTTCAAGGAGGCAAAGAAAGCATGAGCATGATAAGGAGAAAAATTAAAGATATAAAAGATGCCCAAATTGATCTTCTAGTGATAAAAACCACACTAGATGGAAATAAGAGCAGATTACACATAGCAAAGAAATAATGGTGAACTTTAAGCTATAACAATAGAAATTATCAATAATGTACACAGGAAGAAAAAATACTGAAAGAATGATGATGATGATGATGATGATGATGATGATAAAGGCAACAGAGCTTCTGTGAAATATGGGACTATATCAACCAGTTTAATATATATGTAATTGAATCCCAGTAGTAGGTTGGGGAGGGGGGATTAATGGCCTAAAATTTTCCAAACTTGATAAGAACTAACTAAATCCCCACAGATCCATAAAGCTCAATAAACCCCAAGCAGAAGAAACATGAAGGAAAACACACTAAAATACATCATAGTCAAATTGCTAAAAAACAAGGATAAAGATGCAAAGCCATTTCAATGGAGAAAGGATAGTCTTTTCAACACATGGTGCTAGAACAATAGGATACCCGCATGCAACAAAACAAACAAACACCTTCATCCCCACTTTGCACCCAGTGGGTCACAGACCTAAATATTAAATTTAAACTTAAAAATTCCAGAAGATAATATTTGTGAGCTTAGCTGGTCAAAAATTTCTTAGATAAGATACCAAAAGTATAAATCATATGTTTTAAAACATATACTTTGTACTACATCAATGTTAAACCTTTGGTTTTCAAAATTCACTGTGAAGAATATTAAATTTTGACAAGCCACTAATATAGGATAAATATTTTCAAAACACATTGATAAAGTGCTTGTATCCAGGACACAGAAAGAATTCTCACAACTCAAAAATAAGAAAAGAAAACCTCAGTGAAAACAAATAGAGATTTGGGCAAACATTTCACCAGAAAAATGTAAAATAAGCAACAAAGCACATGATAAGATGCTCAGTATTGTTAGTTAGGGACATGTAGATTAAAGCTCTAAAAAGTAAATAGTACATCAAAATAAAAGCAATTAAATGATAAAGGAATAAAAAATAAAATAAAAGCAATAAAAGAAAAAATAGATAACCTGGACATCATCAAAAGGGGAAACTTTGTGCCTCAAAGGAAATGCCTCAAAGTGAAAATAGTCCACATAATGGGAGCAAATTTTTTTTCAGATTATATATCTGATAAGGGGCTTATATCTATGTTATATAAGTGTATGTATGTAACAAATATATAAAACAAAACAAATTATATATATAAACATATATATTATGTGTATATAAAACAACTCAATAATCAACAGCGCAATTAAAGATAATGACACAATTTTAAAATGTGCCAAAGATCTAAATAGATACTTCTCCAAAGAAGATATACAAATGACCAGTAAGCACATAAAAAGATGCTCAGCCTCATGAGCCACAGGGGAAATGTACATCAAGGCACAATCAGGGGTGCCTGGGTGGTTCAGTTGTTTAAGTGTCTGACTCTTCATTTCGGCTCAGGTCATGATCTCACGGTTTGTGAGACAGAATGTTGATTAGAGCTCTACACTAACAGCATGGAGCCTATTTGGGATTCTCTCTCTCCTTCTCTCTCTGCCCCTCTCCCAGTCATTCTCTCTCTCTCCCTCCCCATCTCTCTCTCTCTGCCAAAAATAAATAAACATAAAAAAAACTCCACAATGAAATACCACTTGACACTAACTCAGAGGCAGAATAAAACACATAGATATATAACAATCCGAAGGGTTGGTGAGAAACCCTCATAAACTGCTGATGGGAATGTAAGGTATCATAGCCACTTTGAAAAATACAGTACCCCAAACACCTTGGCAGTACCTCAAATGGTTAAATACAGAGTTACCATATGGTTGAGCAATTCCACTCCTAAGTATACACCCAACAGTTTAGTGACAAAAGGAAAACCATCTCTAATGTGAAGGTCATTGTATTTTGAGGAGAGAGTTAATACCTGGCTTCCATACAAGAAAATACAGTCCCAGGAGGCACATGGTGCCTCAGAAGAAATATGCTGCTTATAATTGTTGAGGCCCCAAAGTAGGATCCATATCAGTCAGGGATACAAGTTGACAGTGTCTTTGAAGATGGCCTTCTGGTTGGCCGTTTGGCTTTAAAGTGCTCAGCTCAGTTTGAATCATTGAGTCTAGTCTTTGATTAAGGAGAGACAGTATAATCTGTCTCATTTGCAGGCACCACTAATCAAGTGGCTTCCATCCACTCTAATCTTTGTGAATTGTGGTTCACAGGTGTTTTCTGTGAGAGCGTTAGGAGATGAATTCCTCCTCTCCTGTTTTCAAAAGACTTCTTGGTAACAGTAAAGGGAATGGCGATCCAATAGAGTTCTCTGGTGAGGGATGTCAGACCCAGTGGTCAGTTAAATTTAAGGTGCTTCCAATTATTTAGAAGAGCCACCAGTGGGAAAGACTCTAAGGGTGATTCTGAAAGACAAGGGTCATTAATGTCCTTAATCTACTATATACCCTGGATCAAAGATGTTCCCTCCCCAGGTGTCAAAATTGTTGTTCTCCCTCTACCATAATAAACTTGACATTTCCTATCCCAGTAGGTATAACTTCATCTTTTATACACTCATTCCCACTTGCACCCATTCCTTTCATCCAGAAGGGTCAGGTGCAAAAAGCATAAGGGTGTTTCATAAAACTTATAAGGATCTATTATGTCCCCCACATGGACTCACTGTACAAGGACTCAGTAAGCAGTGTGCTTATGACCTAGGATTATGGCAATCTCACCAGAGAATCCAGGTGGCTGAACCAGAAATAAATTGAATTCCTAGATTTCTTTTGGCTTGGTGCACCAACCAGTCCAGCCTGGTGTTGCCGTTAAAGGAAAGAAAGAAGGATCATGTCTGGGAATAGTCAGAGTGCAATCCCAAATATCCCTGTAGACCTAATTAACTCTCATCCCTTTCATCCTGATCATTACTTGGGAAGCACCAAGAAATAACCCCTTTCTGAGGCAGCTGTATTATGAGGTATTTGGATCAAAAAGACTCCTGCACAATTGACTTAGACTACTTGATTAGCACCTGGATTGGTTCCCATAGTTAGTGACCCCAAAGAAGGGTGTCTTTAATCTGGCAGGCCTTCATTCTCCAAGTAACAGGCTAGATGCCTAGGCCACTGCCAATAGCCCAAGAGTGAAAAATATAGCCATATAGCCACGGTTTATCAGGGAACACATTAGCCGGAGATATGAGAACAGCGTGAATAATCCAGAAATTCAGATTAACCCCCATGAGGCTCACCTTGGACAAGTGTGTGATATAGGAGCAGGTAGATAATTCCTCCTTCTTTTTCTAGATGTGTTCTCCTGCAACATAGTTATATGGTTTTTTAGAGAATAGCCACATAAGATGGAGCAACCGACCACACGTAGCTGTGGGCAGCTCACCGAGGCATCTTCTACTGACCCTCCCTTCTTTCTTGTTCCTGACCCTGCTCCCTCACTCTTGCTCTCTAAGATTGTTTACTCCTCAATAAAGTGGTAGTAAAAGGGGGGGGGAACCAAGGCTAGGATAATAAGAACAAATTCCAGCCAGGAAGTTTGTATTCTGTATTTTGTTATTCTAGAAAAAAATCACCATTTTATGGCATGGTGACTAATAATATTCAAGAAGGTTATCATGTTGCAATTTTTGTGATAAGCTACTTTTGGGGGGAAATGGTAACATAGAAGCAAAATGTAATTGAAAACACTCCAGTTTTCTCTTTTTTAATAAGATTTTTTTTTTTTTTTGCTGAACTGTAAGGCACCATCAGCCACTTGTTGCTCACATAACCTAATTGTAGGCAAGGTAGGTAGAGGGAAATCAACAGCCTCCTGAGCACCAGCCTTGTGAAATCAAACCTATAAAACGATGACAAATGTTACATTTGGTGACAGAGCAGGACAATAATTGGATTTAAAACAAAACAAAACAAAACAAAACTGACTGAAAAGCATCTTTTTTTTTTTTACTCTGAATCAAACCTATAATTCATTAGCATACCCTTTCCCACTTCCCATCTGGAAACCAGAAATATCGATGATATATGTCATGTGGAAGCACCTAAGAAAATCATTTAAGAACTATAAATTTGAAGGTGTGCAAAAATTTGTATTTTATTTGTGTTTTTGTATGATTGGGGTGCTATCCCCTTTTGGAGGACTTATGATTTAGATAAATTTTTCCAGCACTGACTCTGAACTCAACACATTCTGGGGTGTTTTGGAATTTATGTCCCACTCTGCATTTTTCAGCCCCACTATTTCTTTGTAAGGTATCCCAGTGGGAAGGAACCAGAAAACCATTTCTTTTTTCTTCCCCAGGAATCTTAAAACTCACATTAAAAAGATGAAATGACCCACAATGGCTCCCAAGGGGAATCTGAGAAACAGAGAAGATTCATGAGGGCTTCTTAATGCACAAGTTTCTCTCTTTATATTCACAGCCCACATGAATGTCAGAGCCCACAGGTGGGAGGATGCAGGAGCCTGAGCTTCACTCACACTTTTAAGGAGACAGCTAATGGGTCTGACGCCGTTCTCACATGGTGCACTGGCTAAAGCCCAGTGGAACACATTATCTAATGCTTCTTTCTTCAATCCCTTCCGCTTCTGGTTGGAAGGGCTTAAGCTATGTGAAGGTGGACAAGCTGTACAAAGCGTTTTCCATACACTAGCCATTTGACTTAACAGCAGTGAAACGTTATCCAAATCAACATTGGCTGAATGCCAGGGACAGGGCAGAAAATATTACCTCACCTTTGGTTTGAATGTTTGTGTGCTCCTGGAATTCATATGTTGATGTTCTAACCTCCAATGTGATGTAATAGTTGGAGGTGGGGTCTTTGGGAGGTGATTAGATCATGAGGGTGGAGTCCTCATGAACAAGACTAATGCTCTCATTTAAAAAAAAGGTCTCCAGAGAGATCTCTTGCCCTTCTGTCATGTAAGAACACAACGAGAAGTCTGAAGCCCAAAAGAAGGTTCTCACCCAAACCTGCTGGCACCCTGATCTCAGACTTCTAGCCTCCAGAGCTGTGAGAAATACATTTTTGTGTTTATAAGCCACCCAGTCTGTGGTACTTTGCTATAACAGCCCAAATGGACTGAGAGTGTATAACGAGCAGGTCAGAAGAGAGAGAAACACGTAGACCAGGGAACATTTGTAATTTAGAGCAGCAGATTGCAAACCGATCAGACTTGCACTCTTGTGACAATGTAAATTCCTTGCTAAAGACCATGGGAGCATAGAAAGGAGAAAGAAAAGCCGAGGAGGGGATGCCACAGCTGGAAGAGAGACACAGGCAAGCAGGTTGCTAAGTTAATCATACTAGTCTAGGCCATGGGCCAGTGGCTGAAGAATAGAAGACCCCACATTTTCTTTTAAGAAAACACAAATAGTTTTCATATAATTTAGCCTTTTGGTTAAGCATGTTACATAAATTTAAAAATGTATCTAAGACATTGCCTTATCATGAAAAGCTGCTGATGGAACAGATTGAGGAAGTGGGAACAATGTTCATCAGTCTCCATGTCTGGGGCTTGGAATTAGCCATCACAGACACGAAGACACAAGCCCTTTGCATTTGGCACAAATTACCTGTTCTGTTTCCCTGCATTGGGTCTACAGGCCTTTCTTGAAGACCAAAATCAGTGGTAAAGGCCAATTGTCAGTAGGATGGCTACTTTCAGTGCTATTGTTATGACAACTCTGACTTCCAAAAGGATTATTAAGAAAAAAGGCCATCTCTTTGAAATCTACATCAAGTTGTTAAGGCAACAAACCCAGGATTAGATCTGGAGATGTTTCCTCCTCCACCCCCTTCTTCTACCCTATGATCTATTTCACATGTTCTTGTTGTCAGTGCCAGCTAACAGATCATTGCTACATCTCTGCCACCTCATGCCAGCAATCAGAGACAAGCATGGATTTGAAAAATGGCCTTGCCATGTGCATTTGTGTGTATGTTACATGAGTAGGTCTGCGGGTTTGTGTGAAACTCTGGAAACAGTTCATCAAATTTCCCCCTTAATTCTGTTTGTCATATTTAACCAAAGAGACAGTCCCTTATCCAGATAAAGGACACCCAGAAAACTTAAATGGCACTTGGTGGATTTCTGCAGGCAAAGATTGGAAGAAAGTCTAAAAGAAAGACAGCACTTCCCACTGCCTAGAGGTGGGGAATTACAGGGTGTGTGTAGAGTTAGCTGGTACAAACAAAGAGTATGGGTAGGAGAAGAGGTGGGAATAAGTCTTGAGAAATATTGAGGACATTTGGAATCTGTAAGGGTCAAGCTTGTGAAGGGGGGAATGAGCAACCTGCAAACTGAAGTTTTACTAAGAATGACACAGCAACAGTGGGAGAAGGGACAGGTTTGGGGAAGAGACAGTCAGTGATCATGGCAGTAGTTAAGCATAAAATGTAATGAAGGAGAAGGCTGGGACTCTGACTAACCATGAAGATAGCAATGAGAGGGCAGAAGGAGGATTTGGAGAAGCCTCGGCAGCCAGTGATGAAATTGGAGGGGGGATTGGGGGTGGAAGGCAAGTTGGGGAGGAAAGGAGCCTGGGGAGAAAGAGTCGGGCAACAGGCAGAGCATGTCTAGAAGGAAGAGCTGTTTGGGGTGGCAAGTAATTGTTCTAACTCATTATTGAGGACTGTCCAGCAGGCAACGAGAAATTCGAATGTGGGGCTCCTGAGAGACATGAGGGCCAGTGATCACCCAGTGAGAAGATTGGCCAGGAGAAAACAGGAGACAGTGCTTTTTTGAATATGACCATTATAGGCCCTACCTTGGTAAGCCTGTGAGGATGAAGATAGCTCATCCAAGACGGCATGCAGTCTCCTGGAGGCTAATGAGGTCTGCTGACTCCCAACAGTCAGTTGGTGGACATCTGAACTTAGAGGTGACAGGGGAAAGCCTTGAATTTCACATACTCTGTGATCCAGTTTCTATCTGGCTGATAGAAGTTCTTCCCACTTCAGATGACAGGTCTGAAAGCTGCCCAAGTAGAATGGGTGGTGAGTTATGTGAACATACTTTCACATTAATTGAATTCCCTTCAGTTGGACTTCTGTAAGCGATCTTTTGTTTTAAGTAGTACATTTTATTCTACTAATAGGGACTCAGCTGGGTGGGAGCACACTGCTTGCTGACTAGAGGGGATTTTCTACAGCAGATCTAGAGGGATAGGGTTAGCATTCCCGGAGGTGGTGCCACGGAGGCTGCGTGTGTAGTCAGTGATTCTGCCAGAGCCCACTCTGCCTTTCCTAGACCCCTGGCTTCCAAATCTGGGTGAGTTACTTTGGGGGTGACTCTTTAGTTGTACAGATGACTTAGTCCAACCAGACCAACTCAATTAGAAGCTCAGGAAGTAGAGCTCTGGAACCTGATTTTCAACCATCCTACAGCCATTTGGGACAACTTCCTCGGGACCCCCTCTTCAGGAAATCACTACTTTAGGGCATTCCATCCACGCTCTGTAAGAAATACCAAGTGAGTTTCAAGAGTTGCAGAAATGTTCCTGGCAAGGCCTGTAAGAAAAGGGGTAAGGGCTTGCTGATTGGAAAAAAAAAATCTTCTAAAATTGTCATTTGTTTTCACTGTGATATTTATTTGTAATATCACATCACATAAAAATTTCACATAAAATGGGTGTCTTTAGCAGAAGAATTTTGGATCAAAAATGACTAAGAAACTTCACAGCCTGGGATGATGCTACACTTTACTTATGCAAAATTGATCTTATCGGTTTTACCAGAGTGCCACCTCCGTGAATCTGAGTCCTTCAGTGTTTAAGCTCTAGACAAGTGCAAAATCTGGTGCCATGAGGGATGCTGGGGTCCCCACATTACTTAAAGAGAATGCACAGCATCCAGGTCAGAACCGTAGATTCCCCAATGATGCTTGCCAGAGGTGGAGGGGGGAGATTTTCCTTCATGCCCTCTCCAAACCCGGGGGATCCGGGGTGTACATTTCCCAGGGAATAATAAAAAAGCATCTATATCATAGACCAGCTCAGGGAGCAATTTTTTTCTCTTACCTCCAGCAACAAAACCAAACATCAAAACCCACAAAGTGGAGAGCCAACATTCAGAGACACACCTAAATGGATTTCTTTTCTAGCTCCCAGCCCTCTTCTTTTAAAAACCTTGGAAGATGCAGAGTGAATAATTTGGGCAGCAAGTGGGAAGATCTAGTCTCAGCTCTCCATTCCTTCTGAATCTGTCTCCTCGTCCCTAAATGGGAACTAGTGATCCCACTCACTTCACAGAGAGGGTTTGGGAGCTCAGAAGGGTTCACCAAATGATGGCAAGGGCCACAGCAAGGGGCAGGAAACCCCAGAGCAGCTATACCACATAGTAGGGTTTCTGGAGGTAAGCCCATCTCTCTGTCTCTGATTGCTCTCTTTCTCATAGATGTTGGGTTCATGTAGAGCTGCTTACTGCTGCTTTTCCCCCCAGAGCCTTGAGAAATCTAATGCTCTCAGATTATCAACATAAGTTGTTAGAGCTCAAGCCTCTATAGCTTCTCTATCCTAGTCTAGTTTTTTTAAATTAAGGTTTTAAAAAATGTTTTAATGTTTACTTATTTTTGAGAGAGACAGAGAGACAGAGCCTGAGCAAGAGAGGGGCAGAAAGAGAGGGAGACAGAATCCAAAGCAGGCTCCAGACTCTGAGCTGTCAGCACAGAGCTCTACATGGGGCTCAAACCCACAAACTGCAACGATCATGATCTGCGCCGAAGTCGAATGCTTAACCGACTGAGCCACCCAGGCACCCCTCTAGCTTTTTGGTTTTTAGGATTAGATTTATGGCTACAGTTTCCTACCTTCTCTCTCAGGGAAGACAGCACAGATTCAACCTTTGAGTGTTAGGTGCAAAAGGTTTGGGCACTTTCCCAGTGAGCCCCTGGCCTAAGGCCACCCATGCTGAGTCTTCACTATGTGATTCCTGTGTTTCAGAGAGCCTCACGCTGACTGCTGGCCTGGTCTCTGATGGACACCAGCTCCATCCATTGCTCCTTATGCTGCAGCCAGTTTTGCTTGTGCCCAATCAAAAACATCTCTTTCTGCCACATACTGGAGGCAATGGGGGGAAGTTATCCTGGCAAGTCAATTTCCAAGAAACTCCAGTTCTTGGCCTCCATGGTGCCCAAGGAAGACCTCTTTGAAAAAGTGACATGAAAGCTGAAACCTGATGATTAAAATGAGCCATCCAGATAGAACGGGGTAAGTGCACCAGAGGAAAAAACATGTACCAAGGACCTGAGACAGGAAAGACCTTGACCTATTTAGGGAACTGAGAAAAGACCAACCTGGTTGGACCTCAAGAAGAGTCCAGGGAGTGGGCTGGTGAAATATTTTGAAAGATGCTGATAAACACCGCATTTGAAGACATACTATGCAGATTCTTATAGGCCACCATAGAGTTTGAGCTTACTCCACCAATGAAGTTCACAGTTAGTTCCCAGGGATTCTAAAAGCCTTCGTGAAAATGATCCTTTGACAGTTTCTCCTGGCCTAATGTGAGGTCATGTTTCTGCATCCACCACATATTTTTGAAAGCTACTCTGTCCCAAACACTCAGTAGTCATACTAGATTGCTGTTACAAGCCTTCCACATACACACCAATCCACACACGCATGTACTGGCCCATGTATATGCATTTTGTTGCTCTGTTGTTCTAAAATAGAATCATACTACACACCACACTTAACAATTTAGTTTTTTCATGTAGCAATTACTGTGGATACCTCTACTGGTTTTTGCTAAGCTTTGTTCAATACCTATGCTTCACTCATATACTGCCATCATCCTCAGCCCCTCCCTCCCCCAAATATATATTGGGGAGAGACCTGGACATGACATTACAAGTGTACCTTTAAAAAATGCATAGTGGGGCGCCTGGGTGTCTCAGCTGGTTAAGTGTCCAACTCTTGATCTCAGCTTAGGTCATGATCTCACAGTTCATGAGTTCAAGCCCCCCATCAACCTCTGCACTGATGATGTGAAGCCTGCTAGGGATTCTGTCTCTCCTCTCTGCTCCTCCCTCACTTGTGCTCTCTCTTTCAAAATAAGTAAATAAACTTTATTTTTAAAAAGGCATAGCATAGAACTGTTGACTAGACTTTTTTTTTCTCCATGGAAAAAGCACACTTCAAGTAGGTCAGTGTTCGCTGTGGAGTAACTCCTGGGTTTATTTCATATACCTTCCCAAGAGTAATTTCCTTCATGCCATAAGATATGGTGGGGTGGCAGGAGATAGGGGGAGACTCTAGAAGATGTGAAGGATTCCCAGCCACACACTGGGTGAATCCTCTGAGGAGGCAGTTGAACATGGTACAAACAGTACAGATTTTGGAGCCGGCCGTGCTGGGTTCCTCAGGGAAGTATCTGAACTTCACTATCTATTTCCTCCACTGCAAAAAGGGACAGTGGAACATCATTCAGCCCTAACAAAGAAGGAAATCCTTTTGCACACCACAACATGATGAACCTTGATGACGTCATGCCAAGTGAAACAAGGCAGTCACAAAAAGACAAACATGTATGATTCTACTTGTAGGAGGCCCCTAGAGCCATCAACTTCACAGAGACAGAAAGTAGAAGGATGATTTCCAGGGGCTGGAGGCAGGGGGCAATGGGGAGTTGTTGAACAGTCACAGACAGTCAGTTTTGCAATATGGAAAGGGTTCTGGAAATGGATGGTGGTAATTGTTGCACAACAATGTAAATATAATTGATGTTACTGGACTGTACACTTAAATATGGTTAAGACGTTACATTTAAGTTACATGTTTTTACCACAATTTTTTAAGTGAATGAAAAAAAATGGATAGTAATACTACCTCATGGGGTTGGTAGGAGAAGAATATAATCAGATAAAACATTTAGCCCAGTGCAGTTCTTCCTTCCCCACTACACGTGTGCGCGCGGGCGCGGGCATGCGCGCGCACACACACACACACACACACATGCATACATACTCCTTCTGCTCAGCTGTTTCCTCAGACTCCCCTGCCAAGTTTCCTTATAGCATAAGCACCAACAGTAAGAACAAGTCATATTCAATGACTTCTATCCTCAGGAGTCTCCCCAGGCTGCATTCTGGAAGATTCTCCCATCTTTTGTCTTTCCTTACATGAATTCTCATTCCAAGGCATTTCAAGACACTCTGAGAATAATGGTTCTTAACTTAGAAACATCTACCTTTCACTTTCTGGAAACAATTTATTCTTCTAGTCAGACCCAGGATTTTGAGAGACCAAATTGACAAAAACATTCATGCATGCAACAAATATAACTGAGAGGGTCATACTATGCATGAGCCTCTCTGCAGTTGAAAGCATAAGATCCTTTGTTTTTTCCTACTCTAAAGAAGCAGTGGGCTCCTAAATTGTTCAAAATGTGAAAAAGTGCATTGCCTCATATCCAGATCAATTGCTGAATGCCCTCTGGAACCACTTTGATTCCTTCACAATCCCGTCCCACCCTTCTCTTCCTGCATGAATATGCCTTGAGATGTGACAAGATGTGGGCCTTTCCTGTAATGATTTGATTGCATTCCTTTCTCTTTTCTCATTTTCCAAATTTCTGCAATCTAAGCCAATAATTAACACACTTCTATAATGACAAAGTATTTTTAAAAGATTGTGTTTGTATATGCTCATAAATGAGTTCATAGACTTAGGAAGAAATGAATAGATACGTTTCTTGGCATGGCACAGATAAAAGCGAGTAGTTTGGTTGTTGTCCTTGTTGTTTTTTGAAGGTGTGGATACATCTACTACTTACAGAATCCTAAAATTTAGACATGGTGGGGCTGTTGAATCTGAGCTGTGTGTAATGCCACATAATAATGCTTTCTATTTGTATAACAAGTACTTTAAACTTTATAAAGTATTTTCAGATACATTAACACATTTAATTCTTAAAACAAATTAAAGAAGAAAAACAGATTCAAACAGTTTGAGGTGTGTTCCAAGCCACCCACATAGTACAGGTCAGAGGTTTGTCTCTGAAATAGCCACCTTCAACTCTTTTCTGCTGTTTTTACTTCATTACTGGGAAAGAAAGAATGAATCAGATGAGAGCTAAGGACTCAGGGAAAGCAGGGTAAGTTGCCTGGACCAAGCATAGAATCAGTTGAACTAGAAAAGAGTAACCAAGCTTCACCAAAGCATGGAAAGAACTGCTGGGCCATGAAAGGAGGAATACAGAGAACAGGACATGTGACTCTCTTGGAGCCTCATGCTGGCAACAGACTTCATGGGATGAACAACCAGATCATGTGTAACCACTAGAAGCTTAGTCCTGACAGTAAGGCTGTGTCCCCAGGTTCAGCATCAGAGGAAACATCCCAGAGTCCTCAGGGAAAGCACTGTCATGTTTTATCAGATTGGAGTTTTTAGGAAACTAAGCATGTCTAAGATATGAAAGAAATCAGAGACCCGACATAACAGTAGAGAGCAATGTGAAGGTTACAGAGAGAATGAAGAGCCCCAACTTGTTCTCCCAAACAAAATATAATGCCCTCAGCATCCATAGAAGTGTGCTGAGAAGAATCTTGTTCTCCAGGGTCACTCTTGAAAGGCATTTGCTCTTGTTGCACAATTCCCTCACTGCTAGGATCTGTGGTGCACTGATGTACTCATGAGTACATACTGCCATTAAGTCCTGTGCAGGCCCTGCCACTGGCAGTGAGGAAAACACCACCATCAGCGCTGCTTCCCAGTGTTTGGAGGAAGAAGAGAATGGACTCTCTTTCTCTCTCTCTCCACTCTATGCCACACTGACTTGAGCTCATAAGGGTATAGTTCTGGAGTCACATGCTCCTTTCACTATACACAAACACAAACACGAGACCCACCTGCCTGTCCCCCAACCTCCATATCCCCAGATTTTCAGGAGCAAAGATCTTTTCTCCAAGTACTTAGTGCTAATCCTCTCTTGACCCAGGATAAATTGTATTTCTCTTTGGGGAACCTCCGTTTTATAAGAGGTTTCATCCTGCTTTAGATGGGCCTTTTACTTCAGAGAGGAATATCAGAACTAAAAAGGTGGAGTGTGTTTTGAGGACAGAGTGCTAAGAATGAATTGACTGGATTAAAGAAAAAGGACATCCTAAGAATAAAAATAAATCTGGCTTTTTTTCCCAGAACAATTCATGGGAACCACAAGGTACTTGTCTATTCCCTGGAATGAAGGAGTGGAAGGTTAAACAAAACTCAGGTACCCCCAGGTAAGGTGCACACTGCAGAAAAGGCAAGTAAAGATGTAGATTTAGAGGTATCTGGGTGGCTTAGTTGGTTAAGTGTCTGACTTCAGCTCAGGTCACGGTCATGCACTTTGTAGGTTTGAGCCCTGTGTGGGGCTCTGTGCTGACAGCTCAGAGCCTGGAGCCTGCTTTGGATTCTGTGTCTCCCTCTTTCTCTGCCCCTCCCCTGCTTGCTCTCTCTCTCTCTCTCTCACTGTTAAAAATAAATAAACATCAAAAAATATTTAAAGATGTAGGTTTCCTTTTCTTTTTTAAGTTCTAAGTTCTAAGTTTTAAGTTTTAAGTTCTAAGATTTTAAGGCTTGAGCATATTAAATCTCACTTTCATGCTTCAAGAGAAGTCTGTCCTGTGGAACCAGAAGAAAGGACAGCAGGCATCTTAAAGGGCCGGGCTCCCCAGGAGGAGAGCCTGGAATGAGGATTCATGAGCAAATGAGTTTTTGAGAAAAGGTTCTTAGGGGAAGCCCTCAGAGGTGTTGAGGAGCAGGACAGTGAAGGAAAGAGGGCAAGCCAGAAGGTAGTTGCAGGCAGAGTCCTGCAGAAGGAGCCTCAGCCTGAGTCTGCAGGGAGCTAACGAGTGTAAGGTGAATAAGGTGTGGGCTGTGGTGCACAGAACACATGAGTATGTACTGCCGCTAAGATCTGTGCAGGCCTTGTCCCTGGCTGTGAAAAAAAAACAAAACCACTGCCATCAGTGCTTCTTCCCAGTGTTGGGAGGAAGAGACAGGGGGCTTGGGTTTTCATACTTCTGTAGCCATCATCTACTGGATAAGGGGGATAAAGTCCCCCTGGCACTTCTTGCTTCCAGTGCCCTGAGGCTATGGAAAAGGAAGGCACTCCAAAACCAATGGGCATACAAAAATGCCACAAAAGAGAGTAAAGGTGATCTGAGCAAAATATTGACATCGTCAGCCACAGGGAGCAAAGACTGCACACAATTTGAGAGATTCAGTTCCCTCATATACAAAATGAGTCCATTTCACTATCCTGCACCCCTGATCTCTTATCTGTCAAATGAGGAATGTAATAAATAATGCCTGCCTCTTTGGGTTGTTGCAAGGATGGGACAGTTCAGAAGGAGTACACATTAAGCACTGAGAAATATCAACTGCCTCAAATATTTATACGCAGTGTAAAAGTAATTACACCTGGTCCTTTGGCTCTGGTTATTTTGCCAAAGAGATGTAGTGGTCATCTATGAACCTAAACATGTCCAAGATTTCTCTCTCAGTAATTTGGAGAATGGGTTCTGAGTTACCCAGAAATTATAGGTCCCTGAAAAGCAAGAAGAATTTGGCCAATATACATGAGGGATTTTCAAATCACCTTTAGGGTGCTCAGTGCTGAGTGCATCCATCAGTTAAGTATCTGACTACTGCTCAAGTCATGATCTCACAGCTTGTGAGTTCAAGTCCCAGGTCAGACTCTGTGCTGATCAGCTCAGAACCTGGAGCTTACTTCAGATTTTGTCTCCATCTCTCTCTGCCCCTCCCCAGCTCACATACTGTCTCTCTCACTCTCTCTCTCAAATATAATTAAGGATTAAATAAATAAATAAATAAATAAAAGCAACTTCAAAAGCATTAACCCATTGTTTGAACTGTACACAAAACATTTTTTAGATAAAATTCAACCTAGCCTCTGTACGGCAGTTTCTGCCCTATTCATTTCTTAAACACAATTACAAGGAGAGCATCTAATGCAATTGGCTATGAACATCAACTTACTATTAGGTTAGCCCACAATGAGCTAAGTTAGGAGCCATGAGGGAGCTGTATTTATGACATTCGAGTAGCACAAAATGTGATTTTTCTCTAGAGAAGACTTTTGAGAATTAGAAGGAATTAGTCATATTTTCCAATGTGAGGATTTTAACAGTTGTGAAATTATGAAGGAGACCTGACTCAACAATTCTGATACTGCAATATGTCACCTAGCTGTCTTGTTACTTAAAATTACACGATTTAGAAGACAGTAACTTTAAAAAGAACCCAGCTGAGGTTGGAAAGAAAAGGGAGAGATTCAGACAAAGCAAAGGAAAAGTAGAAAATTGCTGAACATTTACAGAGCTAAGTTTAACAATTCTGGGCTCATTTAATACATTTCTTTCTTAAATAGCACGCTGAAAAGACATGTTTATCCTCTCAGTGAGTTATACATTAGAATTGCACTCATTAAACTGTTTTTGTAAAAGTACAATACTGAATCTAAACTGTATTTAATATGCTGTTAAATATTCAAATGAGTCACCCCTTTGGACTCCTCTTTGGAGGGTTAAAAGATGAATAGACGTTCACTGGGCAAAGATGATTAAGCCAATTCAAGACTCTCCTTGTGCTATATTTTTCTAGCCTCTTCATTAGGTTACTCCTCATTAGCTATCTTAAATGAGCTACAAATAATGATCAGGTCTGTCCTTTATATATGAAAATTAGGCTATTAGAAAGCTTGCGACTTTGGAGGTGTTTTCCAGGAGTGGTGAAGGGTTTGAACTTCCTCAAGCATGCTCTCTAGGTTTCTCTTATTTTCAATAGCATACTTTTGCAAGATGATTGGCCCGGGTTAGGAGGATGCTGAAAGACTCAGAAAGAGATGGTTCTAATGAGCTTGGTCTCATTAACATGGTGTGATAATTAGATAACCTAGCTGAACAAATGCAGCAGTGGGCAAGTTTGAAGAGATATAAATAGCTCCCTGAAACTTAAATACAAACTTAAATACACTAGAAGTGGTGTTATTCCTTAAAGGACTAAATAAATCACTGAATAGAATAAGTACTAGCACTTACAATCAGATACTGTAAAGAAAAGAGGGTAAGTGTTACAGTTAAGAAATGATTACAATTAATTGAATTCCAAAATACACACAAGTCCTCTTACATGTTTTGCTCTTATCGTGATAATATAAATCAAAGAGAGATCCCAGGTTTATTCCAGACAAATAGAAAAGAGCATCTAATTTAATCCAAAGAAGTTTACTACAAAATCTTGACTTCAGAAACCACTCACTCACTCTTTATACACTTTCAACAAAGAGTTCTTTGTCTCCTTTCTCAAAGAGTTTGCTTTAACAAAACAATTCTTCCCAAATTGATCTAGAAAATAAATGCAATTCCAATAAAAATTCTCGTTAGATTTTGTATGACCTTGACAAATTTATTCAAAAAGGTGTCTGGAAGAACAAAGCAAGGAAAATTGCCCAATCAGATATTAAGATACTTCAAAGATGAAGTAATTAAAAAGACAAAAGAAAAAAAGGTAGTATTGACATCAGAAAAGACTAAGAAATCAATGGAATTGAATAGAAAGCCCAGAAACAAATCCAAGTAAATGTAGGAATTTATTCTATGTTAGAGATAGCATTATAAATCTGTGGAGAAAAGATGGAATTTTTTAGTAGCTGATATTAGGAGAACTGGTTCATAGCATTATTAAACATTCTACCTAATGACATACAAAAATACAACCAAATTGATTAAAAACCTAGATATAAAAATTAAAACTGTAAAGCAATTTAAAAATATTTTAAGTTGATACTGTCCAAAGCAATCTACATATTCAATGCAATTCTATCAAAATAACAAAAGCATTCTTCACAGAGTTAGAACAAACAATTCTAAAATTTGTATGGAACCAGAAAAGATCCTGAATAGCTAAAGCAATCCTGAAAAAGAAAGCTAGAGGCATCTATGGTACTGTATGGTACTGGCACAAGAATAGACACATAGATCAGTGGAACAGAGTAGAGAACACAGAAATTGACTCACAAATGTATGGTCAACTAATCTTTTACAAAGCAGGAGAGAATATCCAATGGGATAAAGACAGTCTCTTCAGCAAGCGGTGCTGGGAAAACTGGACAGCAACATGCAGAAGAATGAACCTGGACCACTTTCTTACACCATACACAAAAAGAAACTCAAAATGGATGAAAGACCTAAATGTAAGACAAGAAGTCATCAAAATCCTCAAGGAGAAAACAGGCAACAACCTCTTTGACCTCAACTGCAGCAACTTCTTACTTGATATGTCTCCAGAGGCAAGAGAAATAAAAGCAAAAATGATCTATTGAAACCTCATTAAGATAAAAAGTTTCTGCACAGAGAAGGAAACAATCAGCAAAACCAAAAGGCAACTGACAGAATGGGAGAAGATACTTGCAATTGACATATCAGATAAAGGGTTAGTATCCAAAATCTATAAAGAACTTATCAAACTCAAAACCCAAAAAACAAATAACCCAGTGAAAAAATGGGCAGATGACATGAATAGACACTTTTCCAAAGAAGACATCCAAATGGCTAACAGACACATGAAAAATGCCCAACATCATTCATTATCAGGGAAATACAAATCAAAACCACAACGAGATATCACCTCACATCTGTCAGAATGGCTAAAATTAACAACTCAGGAAACAACAGATGTTGGCAGGGATGTGGAGAAAGAGGAACACTTTTGCACTGCTGATGGGAATGTAAACTGGTGCAGCCATTCTGGAAAACATTGCAGAGATTCCTCAGAAAATTAAAAATAGAACTACATTCAGCAATTGCACTACAAGTATTTATCCAAAGGATACAGGAGTGCTGATTCAAAGAGGAACATGCACCCCAATGTTTATAGAAATACTATGACAATAGCCAAAGTATGGAAAAAGCCCAAATGTCCATCAACTGATGAATGGATAAAAATGTGGTATGTATATACATTGGAATATTACTCAGTGATCAAAAAGAATTAAATCTTGCCATTTGCAGCAATGTGGATGGAACCAGAGTGTATTATGCTAAGCAGAATTAGTCAGTCGGAGAAAGACAAATATCATTCATATGTGAAATTTAAGGTACAAAACAGATTTACATTCGGGAAGGGAAGCAAAAATAAGATAAAAACAGAGAGGGAGACAAACCATAGAAGACTCTTCAATACAGAGAACAAACTGAGGGTTGCTGGCAAGGTGTTGAGTGGAAGGGAAGACCAAAAGGGTGAGGGACATTAAGGAGGACACTTGTTGGGATGAGCACGGGTGTTATATGTAAGTAATGAATCACTAAATTCTATTCCTAAAATTAAAATAAGTAAAGAAATAAAAATTTAAAATGAAGTATAAAAATATTTTTAATATTGTGACATGAAGATACGTGGAAGAAGTTTTTACACTCTAAAAACATAAGGTGAAAAAATTCTCAACTACAACAAAATTGAAGATTTCTATCTAATGTAGAGAAGATATGCAGCATTTAAAATGTATTAGTGTTAATATCAATAAGAAAGAAAGAACTCCTACAAATTAATAACAACAATATAGGAAACAATTTTAAAATACACAAGGGATATGAATGAGTAATTCACAGAAGGAAGAAACCCAAACAACTAATAAATATGTAAAGGAAGCACTCAACTTCATTCACCAAGAATCAGAGATCTATATATTGAAATAACTTTATAATTATCCAGTTGGCAAAATTTGAATGTTGGTAAATGCATTAGTGATGATACTGGCATATGGGAAACTCATGCACATGAGAGAATATTGGTTACAATATATCAGATTATTGTTTAAATGCATTCACTACCTCTCCATCACTTCCATAGAAAAAATACATTTCCTCTCCCCAAGGGACTTGGCCATCTGACTCAACTTGCCCTAACAGCAGGCATCCCTAAGCATTTCTTTGATCCTGGGCTTTAAGCTTGGTCATATAACTTGTTTTGGCCAATAACATGCTAACAAAAACAACTTGAGCACAAGCTTGAAATGCATTTGGTGATTTACCTTGATCCCTTGTGTTTCTGCCATTGGCATGAAAAGAACATGCCCTAGCTAAGTCCATGAGTTCAAAGAGGATGAGAGACACATGGAACAGGCCTGAACCCAGCCTAGATCCACCCTAGTTGAACTCCCAGCTGACCCACAGAGATATGCTCATATTATATATGAGCAATATAATAAAATATTGCTATTTTAGGCCATTTAATTTGTGGGCAGTTTGTTTCACAGCATCATTTTGACAACAGCTGACCAATGATAGTATTTGCTGAAGTATTTGCTCAGTTTTTAATGAATGTAACTAGCATGTATATTATGTAGCAGAAACTGCCACACAGCCTCCTCTACTCTTTTTCTGTTGGCAGAGAATATATCTCGTATTAATCAGAATACTCACAGAAAAAAAATCAATAGGATATACACATATATATAGAGAAAAAGATTTATTATAAGAAATTGACCCATGCAATTAAGAAGGCTGAGAAGTCTCTCAGTCTCCTGTCTACAAACTGGAGACACAGGAGAGGCACTGGTATAGTTGGTATAGTTCCAGTCTGAATCTGAAGGCCTGAGACCCAGACAGCCATTTGTGTAAGTTCCAGACCTAGTGCAAGGGAAGACCAATATTTCAACTCAAAAACAGGAAGAGAGAGCAAATTCTCCCTGACTGTACTTTTTGTTCCATGGAGGCCTCCAATGGATTGGATTAGGCCCACCCACAATGGAGATGAACCTTACTTTACTAGTCAACTGGTTTAAATGTTAATCTTGCCCAGAAACAGCCTCACAGACATACCCAGAATCATGTTTAACCAAATATTCGGGCACCTTGTGGCCTGGTCAGACTGACATCTAAAATTAACCATCACACTTTCCATCCTGGGGGCCAAAAATTCCAGACACTTGTTTTCCCAGTCTCCAGTTCAACATGTATAAAATGCTAGTCCATGGGACCGAAGGGAACATCTATTAAAAGATGTGAAGTAAAAGTTTTCCTCTGTGATAAGAAAGATATATGGTCCTCTGTGATAAGAAAGATATATGGGAAGCTATGGCCGTCATTACCTCTATGGCTGTGATCATGTTTGCATGGTATGCCCAGGCCTGCTACAACCATCTGTGACTACTGGAAAAAATAACACTGACTTAGAGAGGAATGGTAGAGAACGGAACACATCTGGATCCTTGATGACATCACTGAGCCGCCAATGCTTCCTCTAGAACTCTTGTTATCTGAGACAATTTAGGTCATTACTATTTCAGTCACCTATAATTAATTATCCATGTATTGGTCCACTAGTTTCAACTCTTGGATATGAATAGGCACATGCACAAGAAGATAGGTATGATGATGCCCACTGCAGTATTATTTTGTGGTAGCAAGAACTTGGGAGCGTCCTAAGTGTCCACCACTTAGAAATAGGTGATTAAAATGTCTGCAATAAAATATTAAGTAATAATCAGTAATAGTAGACTATATTTACATAAGAAATTTGAATAGATCTCAGAGATATAAAATTAAAAGTAAGAAAGCAAATGATAAGTAATAAAAGTAAAACCTGGAATGGGATATATATCACAATGCCATTTATATATATAAAGAACACAAACACCTAAGACAGCATTGTAAGTTTGCAAATAATTCACATATATTCAGGGAAAAATGTTTAAAAGATTACAGTGCATGTTTAAGGGTGAAGGACCTACTTTCAAGCACACTTACGTGATTATTAGGAGGATTCTGTTCCTTGTGGGCTGGTGGACTGAAGATCTTAGTTCTTTACTGGTTGTTGGTCAGAAGCCTCCTTCAGCTCCTTGCCATCTGGGTCTTTTCCGTAAAGCAGCTCACAGCATAGCAGCTTGATTCCCTCAGAGTTGACAAGTGAGTAGGAGAGAGGTTGTCCAAGATGGAAGCTATGTCTCACTTTTGTCATATTTTTTTTTAATCAAAAACAAGTCACTAGATCCAGCCCACACTCAAGGGGAAAGTACCACACAAAGGAGTGATTATCAGGAGGTAGGGATCACAGAACCATCTTAGAAGTCCCCTACCACAGCCCTCAATACCATGACCAGTGATGTTCACTTATCATGAACTGTGGAGTAGGATTAAGTCAACTTTGTATAATTGAGGTCCGAAAATGAAATAAAAGTAAAAACAAATGGCAAAAAGAACCAATGTGGCTTTGGCTTGTACATATTTGTAAGTCAATCTGTAGCTAATTGACATTAAATAATGCCTGGCAGGCTTAGTAGCTATTGGGGCCAAAGTGTTGACTATAGGTATGTAAATATTAAGAAGCACAGAAAAAAAGTAGTTTTATCACTTAAGATCAATAGTAAGAGACAGGAAGAGAAAAGGGGGAATATTAGTATAGCTTCTATTAAAAAACAGCAGCTCAAATCCAGATTTAAAGTAAAAAATATTCTAGGTGCTAAAAGTTTTTGATGTAGATTTGGGTAATTTCATAAAAGGAGAAATATTTATCAATCCCTTATTTAGCAGGGGGAGAATCAAATCCAGATGGCCAGTGATTTCACTCCAACCATGGCAATAATCTCTTTCTTTGGTCAAAGCATCTCTTTATAAGACAGACTCTCCTGCCAGAGTAGAAATGTGATTATTATCATCTGCAAGCAGTTTCCTGTCTGACATTAACTGGGTGAGGCTTGGCACAGCCTTTCTTCCTTTTGTCCAGGAAATTTGCACCAAAGAGTTAATTGCATTAAAATGTTCCATATTTAACTTCTGTCTTTGCTGACAAACAAACTTTCAAAAACAGTCTCAATGTTCTATCTGAAACCAGGGCAAGACTTCTTTTTTGTTTCAGCACTATTTTCCTAAACCTCTCTCTCCTTTTCATGCTCCTCATTGCAGTGTAAGCCCATGAAAAATTAACACTGCTGTTCAGCAGGGAAGCTACCTCTTTTAAAAGAGTGCTCTGGCAAACCCCAACACCAGGACATGCATCTCTTAGCAGATCTGCCTTAGAAAGGCACAATGTGTTACAGAAGCTTCTCCCTAGAGAGTGTGAATCTGAATGCCTATGGCAATTATACTAGATTTTATGTTTACCATCCCTTATTTAGTTCTTAATAGCACATGTGGGGTCCATGAGCTTACAAAATTTGAGGTAGATCACTGCAATGATGTAGGAACCATGGCCTACATGGTTCTTGGACTCCGTGGCCAGTGAAGGAAAGCTGATATCTCAAAGTCCAAACTCTACAAACAAAATGATATTTGCAGTTATTAATTAAAACAATTGGGTTTTATGGGTAAGACATTTGTTCATACCAAAGAGTACAAAATATCAGCACCAATCAGAAAAACAGGCCATGTAATAAGTGGATCTAAGAGCTTATCAATGTCATGAAAGTCCTAGGCAAAAACATGCCTAGTGTAGCATTCAATGAAAAAGTTGTTTCTCTTCTTAAAGCTAAAATTATAATTCTTTTTAGTTTAATACATCAGGTTATTTTTATTCACAGTTACAAATAACCATTTTGATCAGAATTTTTCACTGTAGAATTGATTGGAGTTTTCAATTCATGAAATCATAATTATGTCACATTATAAAATAATTTCTCTTGGTACAATATGTAAGAGTAACCCAACTAAACATCCATTGGTAGGTTTGATACAGTGGCTAAATAAGATCACAATTCTCCACTACAATACCCATCCCTCTTCCTTCTCCCATCCTAGACTTTTTGACTTAGCTCACTTCAGATTTATACCTCTTCAATATCATCTCATAAAATCACAAAACTGCCAGATGTCTCAACGGCTTTAAGATATTAGACAGTAAGGTCTTAGAAGATTGGCACTTGTTGACCACCAATGGAAAACCTTACCCAAGTGAATTTGCTTTTCAATATCTTCATCTGCCACTCTTGTCCCTTTTAGCAGAGCCCACTGGACTCAGCACACTGTCCATCTCCTCCATTTATGCTCCATCTCTGCTTCAACAAACAGCTCTGAAAATCTTAGTGCTCAGAATCAAGTTAGATACCCAGCTTGGTAAGTAAGTTTTCATTCTGCTCACCATTCTTACCTTCCTATCATTAATATCAGTAACACTAACACTCCAATTTAAGAGTTCCAACAATTATATTCAAATCAAGTTCTTGATTCTGTCAGACTAGCTTATTCCCTAAGGCTTCCTCAAAGCCTCTAATAGTACTCAGACCTTAAATGTATGGAATAAAGGATATGTAATTTTTAAGTCACTTTTAGACATTAACATGCAATGCTACCTTTTCTCAAAATACTTCACCTGTCCACCACCTGCTTCCTTAAGGTTTACAAGTAATAAAATGAATGCGTATGGGACAGTAATTTCTATGGTATGTATGCATTTTGAAACAGCAGCAATAATAACCATGCCTCTTTGGTGAACCAAAAGAGTAATCAGAAAAACTCTGGTAAGTCCTCTCTCTCCCTGACCAAGGTTGTCCATTGCTGAGCTACAATCTCTCAGAATTAGATCCAGCCACCTCTATTCCTCTTATATGTGCCTAAATCATTCTACATAGAAAAAATCCATTAACTATCCACTCTACAAGATGGAAAGTGTAAGATGGCTTCTAAAATAACTAACACGCCCAGGGCCACACTACTAGAGGCATAAAACTCAGAGCTCAAAAGATGATAGTTACACCATGTGGTCTTAGACCATCGTATAACAGGTAGGATGGGTAAAAAAAGGCATTTAAAACACAATCTTTAAAAATAGTCCTTTAGTCAAAAAACTACTATGCCCTAAATCCAATCTAAGTCACTGCAAGATTCAACAGAAACTCAAAGGAAACTAAACGCTAATGGATCCTCAAAAGAAAAACAAATTATAATTGAACCATCATATTCCTTGGCACATATAACAGCTGGTCTGACCCCACATGGAGTATTAAGTTCAATTCTGGTGCCGTATTTTAAGAGGGACAATGATAAACTGGAATACATTCAGAATAGTGCAGCCTACTCTGGAAACTATTTCATATGATAAATGGCTGAAGGAATTAGTGATCTATATCCACCAGTGAAGGAAATACAATAACTGTCTGAAATAAGAGGAGTGGTTAGCAAGTAGGAGTAGAATTATAAAGAGCGGCTTAGAGCAGTAATCAAGGAAAGAAAGCTAATCAAATAAATGCAAATTAAAACAATAGTGAAATACTATTTCCACATTCCCACACCTCAAGAATTTGAGATACACACACACATAATATATATATGTATTATTGCATTATTATATTTTCCATTGGAAATAATATATATATTATATTATATATATATATATTTATGGAAATAGCTAGGAAGGATAGGAAAAGCTTTTCTGGTGGCCAATTTGGAAATAAGAGTCAAAAGACTCAAAACTATACATATCTTGTCACCAAATGATTTTGCATCTAAGAAGTTATCTTAAGGAAATGATCTGAAATATTTTCAAAGACTTTTGCAAATGAATGTTCATCAGAACATTAATTATGTTTACAGAAAAAAAGGAGGAATACTTAATTACTCAATAAAACCTTTGGATTTTCTATACTAATAATTGTATAGTGTTTACAATTTACCAGTCACTGTAAAGTATTTTCCTCATGACTCTGTAATTCCCATAAAAACCCTAGGAAGAGGATATTTTTATCCCCATTTTATAGAAGATAACACTGAAGTAAAAGATGTTACGTTGCTCAGGGTCTCACAGACAATATACAGCAGAGTCAAATTCTAAAATAGACATCCTGGCTTGATACTCTACACTCAACTAATGCTATGCTAGCTTGGCTAAAAAGTCATGACATGATGGGGTTCCTGGGTGGTTCAGTTGGTTAAGCATTTGACTTCGGCTCAGGTCAGATCTCACGGCTCATGGGTTCGAGCCCCACATCAGGCTCTGTCCTGACAGCTCAGAGCCTAGAGCCTGTTTCAGATTCTGTGTCTCCCTCTCTCTCTGCCCCTCCCCACTCATGCTCTGTCTCTCTCTGTCTCAAAAATAAATCAACTATTTTAAAAAAAGTCATGACATGTCAAAATATGGAATATCATCTTTAAAAGTGAAATAAAGAAAGGAATACAATGAGCTCACCTGGTATCAGTCATCAATATCTACCTTCATCCCCTTTTTAGAAAACCAAGACCACATTCTCCCTTCTTCAGTCTTCCAATCCTGTCCTGTTCTCCAGGTTTTTAAAGATCTCACCCCTATACCCTTCCAATTCCTTGAGATGAAATTACTCCAGGCCAGAGGGTTAGCAAACTGGAGTAAGAGCTTGCTCACAATCTCTGGATAACTTTGACTCCTTTCTTTCGAGTGCTATTGTTCCATAGGATCAGTAGGCACAAGTCAGTGTTCAAAACAAAAATGTTTACAGGAAAATCCAAAAATAAAAGTTAATCATGACTTATTTTTTCTTTTCATTTTAAAGTAATGAGGAAAAAGACATTGGATGGTGGATACAATTAACAAGAAGAAATTTTAAAACGACTTCAGTCAATCTCAGACACCTTTCAAATGAGGTCACAGTCTGTTCATCTTTTTCTCCTCAAGCTGAGTTGTTCCTTGTTATGCTGCAGAGACAAACAATAAACACCTTGGATGACAAAACCCACAAATACAAGTGCTATTTCTTTTGTATTGGAAAATATCTTGGTTTAATTTTTACTTACTTGTAAATATAAGCACATGTTTTAAACTCATGCTATTTTTCTCCACCAATTCCCCTTAAGGGCTACATAAAGACATAAATGACCAGATGGAGGGTTTTATAAATCTCTTTATTAATACCAATCAGAAGCAGAAAAAATATAGAGGAGGAATTGCTTTGAATAATGCAAATTAGTTTGTTATAGCAAAGTAAGTATTATGTCAAAAACAGTTCTGCTTACTCAGTATTCCTCCAAAATCTACAAGTTTGATGAATAGTCTGTGAGAGCTGGCGAGAGCCAGGAGTTGCCTGATCTTTTAATTCCTTTGGCTTGAACAATATCAAGATTTGTGGACAGTCTGATGTCCTGCCAAAGACTTATGTGACTTCCCAGGAGAGCCTTCCATTCTCATGGTTACTCCTGGATGTCAGCTCCTTATTTCTATAGGACTAGTTGCAAATGTGAATCATATCATAATTTCCTACATGCCCTTCTGTTCTGTACCAAATCAATCCACATGTGGAAATGGTGCTTTGCTTCATTTTCACAAAAAAACAAACAAAACTCACCAAACAAGCAAGTAAAACCATGCTCACACCAATACTCGACATGACAGACTTTATTAGAAATGGGGAAATATCAAAGAAATTTAGATCACGGCAATGCAAAGAACAGAAACTGAGCAGAATATAATCCTTTATCCAAACCACTTTTGGTTACCTGGTCATGAACTGTTCACTGGTTACACCACACAAAACTTCTGCTTCTCGGCATCTTGCTAACTCTCTTCTCCTCTAGCTCTTTCCCCAAACCTTCTCTCACACAGCAGTGCCAGTGTTATACCAAGAATGGGTTATTTCTTGCAGAGAACATTTAGCTCCTTTATTTCCTTTTCTCCTGCTAATCCCATGTGACTTATTATATTATTTTTTTAACAAAGGAATTTCCCTCTACAGGAATGATAATGCTGCTACTAATAAGCTTTTATTATGTCACTTCAGTTGTAATCAGAGAATCTTAGAAGTTATTTGGGGTAAGACCCTAAACTCAACAAATGAAATATCCCTAAAAAAGAAAAAAGAAAAAGACCACCTGATTTACTCCAAGGTCTTATAACTTAGTAGTGGCAGAGCTAGTAGAGACCAGACCAGACCAAACCAAACCAAACCAAACCAAACCAAACCAAACCAATCCAAAACAAAAACATGTTCTGATTCTGTCTGGTGTGTTTTCCATTACTAAATACAAACATTAAGACATGTTAATATTTACTAATATTAACCAGTCTAATAAAGTTTTAGCAAACAGGGTAAATAAAATATATTTTATATTATAGTGCTTCATTGATAGGTTGTAGTAGGGAGGGTTCAAATGTGGTCTTGTTCACCCTGCGACCCAACAGTTTGAAAAGTACCTAACTTGAAATAGTACGCATACTATACTTAAGGAAGGTTTATTTGCTGATCTGAGAGCAACAGCTGGAGGGGTGGGAGGTGGATGAAATTCTCCTTGGAGATGGAGACACTGGCGGACACCATTGTACCATTATTGCACTCTACATGTAACAGGTTAGCACAGGAAGATGAGCTCAGTCACCACACCCTTCCAAAGTAGAGGGCAGGAATCCTAGCACTTGCTGATGTTGGAGAATGCAGGCAGTTGGGACTTATTTAATCTGAAAAGAAATTGCACTAATTAATAACATGAAAGGATATGAAGATAAGTCTTACTGGAAAAGGTAAATATATAGTAAAGGTAGTGATTAATCACTTATGAAGCTACTAAGAAGGTTAAAAGAAAAAAGTAGTAAAATTAACTATAACTAAAATAATTAGTTAAGGGATACATAAAATAAAATGATATAAAAAGTGACATCAAAAACATAAAATGTGCTAGCGTGATAAAAATGTAAAATTTTAGAATTTAAATGTAACCTCAAATGTAAGTTGTTATAAGCTTAAAATAGTCTGTTATAAACATAGGATGATACATGTAAATCTCATAGGAACTACAAAGCAAAGAATTATAGTAAATACACAAAAGAAAATGAGAAAGGAATCTAAACATAAACTAAAGAGAAGAAAGGAACAGAGAGAAACCACACACACACACACACACACACACACACACACACACACACCAAAAAAGACAAAACAATGAATAAAATGGCAATAAGCAAACACTTATCAATAATTCTTATATAATCACTTGAAAAGTCCTCAAATTACTCTTTTAGTTTCATCCCTAGGTTTTGGTATTTAATATTTTCATTACAATTCTGTTTAATGTCTCTTTGATAGTTCTTCTCTGAAGTTTTTCTAGGCTTGCTTTAAGGACTATTAAGTGTCAATTTTTGCAAATGCTATATGTACTCTTGAGAAGAAGATATATTCTCCAGTTATTGGGTACAGTACTCAATATATACCCATTAAATCCAGTTCTTAACTGTGTTTTCTAATCTTCCCTATCTTTTTATGTATTCTTAACCAATCAAATATGAGAGGTAGTTTGAAATCTCTCACTATGGCAGAAAATTTCTGTATTTCTCCTTGAACTTGCGTAGATTTTTGCTTTCTATATTTTATATCCACATATTTAGAATTGTTATGTATTACTAGTAATTTGACTCTTTAAGCATTCCATAACTAACTAACCTCTATAGTCTTAATAATTTATCTTTTGTTTGACATAAACATAAGGACCCCGGGTAATTTTGTTTTGTTGTTATTAATAAAGTTTTGGACTTCTGTTTGTTTTGGGTTTTTTTGTTCTGGTTTACTCTTTCTTTTTTTTAACCTTTCAATGTCCTTAATTCAAGAATCTAATAAGTGGATTTTTTTTCTTACCCAATCTGATTAGGCTCTGCCTTTTAATTAATAAGTTTAGTCCTTTATATTCATTATAGTTATGAAAATATTTGGATTTATTCCAACCATTTTAAGCATACTGCCTTGTGCTTTTTGGTTATCCTGAATTTCTCATGCCCTTTTTTCTCTCCTTTTATGTGTTTAGATTGATTGAGCTTTGTTTTTTTCTTAGTCATTCTTCTCCGTCTGCTAATTTTAAAATTATAAGCTTTATCTTCAATCTTTCCGTGCTCACTCCTTAAATTTTATCATGCAAACTTTACAATGTCAAAAGTTAATCAAATATATACTCTCCTACTTGAATAGACAATTTTCCAAAAACATATGAAGGACCAACGTGTACATGGAAAGGCACCAACTTCACTAATCATAGAGGAAATGCACATTAAAAATACAATGAGATATAGCCACTATGGAAAAGGCATAGCCTTTTGGTATAGCCACTATGAAAAAGAGTATGGAAACTCCTTTAAAAATTAAAAATAGAACTACTATATGATCCAATAATTGTGCTTCTAGGTATATATTCAAAGGAATTGAAATGACTATCAAAAAGAAGTACCTGTACACCATCTTCATTGCAGGATTATTCACTATAGCCAAGACATAGAAATAACCTAAGTTGTAGATGGATAAATGAATAAAGAAAATGTAATATTGGTATATATACTTATTCACTCTTGGATTATTTTTAGCCACAAACACACACAAAAAAGGAATTCTGCCATTTTAATGGATGGACCTTGAGAGCATTATGCTGAGTGAAATAAGTCAGAGAAAAGAAAAATATTGTATCATTTCACTTACATGTGAACTCTAAAGAGAGACAAACTCTGGGTGCCTGGGTGGCTCAGTTGGTTAAGCGTCCTACTTCAGCTCAGGTTGTGATCTCATGGTTTGTGAGTTCAAGCCCCGCGTCAGTCTCTGTGCTGACAGCTCAGAGCCTGGAGCCTGCTTCAGATTCTGTGTCTCCCTCTCTTTGTGCCCTCTCCTGCTTGTGCTCTGTCTCTGTCTCTCTCTCTCCAAAAAATAAATAAACATTAAAAAATAATAAATAAATAAATAGCCAAATTCATAGTAACAGAGTAGAATGGTAGTCACCAGGAGCTAGCAGAAAAGAGGAAATGTTCATGAAGGGCACAAACTTCCAGTTATAAGATACATAAGTTCTGGGGATCTAACATATACTATGGATTATAGTTAACAACACTACATTATAAACTTGAAAGTTGCTAAGAGAGTAAAATTTAAATATTCACAGCACACACAAAAAACTTATGTGAGGAAATGGAAGTGTTAACTACCTTCACTGTGATAATCATTTTGAAAAATATACATATATCAAATCATCGCACTGTATGCCTTAAACTTACATAATGTTGTTGTCTTTATACCTCAGTAAAGTTGGAGGGAAAAACTCTACCTCCTCCTGAGAAATACAAAAACCTTAATTTCAATCTCTTCTCTCTGTGTAAACAGGGAGGGATAGAGAGAGATGGAAAGGGTGAGAATCCCAAGTAGGCTCTGCACTGTCAGTGTGTATGTAACCTGACTCAAGGCTCAAACTCACGAACCATGAGACTATGACCTGAGCTGAGACCAAGAGTCAGATGCTTAATCAACTGAGTCACCCAGGCACCCCAGATGTAGTTTTATTAGGATTAGAATTTTAGGTAGTTATTTACACCTCTCATTTTGAAGATTTTGACTAATTTTTTACTGTCCTCTGGCCCATTATTGCTGATGAGAATTCTAATGTTAATAATTTTCTGTATTTTGTAGATGACTTTATCTTTTCTTTCTGTATTCTTTTATGATCTTCTAAGATCTTCTTTTTTGTTTTTACTACAACCTATAAATGAAGTTCTATAATAAAATATATTTTATTTACCCTGTTTGTTACTCCTATATTCATGGAAGAATAGCTTTTATCATTTTGGAAAACTTTTAGACACTATCTTTTCAAGTATTGCCGCCCTGTCCCCCATCCTTTCTATTACTTCATTTGAACTTTGATTAGACATATGTTAGAACTTTTCATTTTATCCTCCATGATTGCATACCTCTTTTCTATATTTTT